ACTCCCTCCCTCACCACTTTATCTGCCCTTGCCACCCCCTCATGCCACTTCCCTTACAACAGACTTACCAGCCAGACTCAGCTGCTCTCCACACTGCTGGGCTGAGCTTCTGGCCACCTGCATGCTGCACTGCAGCTGCATGCATGCACAGGGCATTTATCAGCAACATTATTGGCCACATCAGCCAAAAAAAGCCAATTGCCAGTAGTGTCAATTTGCCTTATATCGGTGCCAATCCAATATGGGACTGGTGTATCAGTGCACATCTAGTAATATTTCTTTGTGATACTTGGTACTGGCATTAAAACATTCCCAGGCAAATACCTGCAAAATTGCTATACTTTATGTTTTAGCATTAACATTTTTTCTTCCTGGCTTCTGGGCTAAAGTTCTGAGAAATCCTTTTTAAGGAAGAAATGACTGCATTTTGTCCCATAAACAAGTTTTATGACTCAGTACCAAGGAGGAAAACTGAGCAGATATACCTCTGTAGAAGGGGAAGAAACAAAGAAGCAATTATGTGGAATAAATGGTCAAATGGTCAAATTTGAGGAACTATGCTCTCTGCTGTTTGATTCAGCTATGTAGTCAACTTCATCTTGTACAATTATAGCACCCGGAAGTCTTGCCTATCCGGTTTGAAAACAAGTGCATCAGCAGATTTATCTTGGGATTTTGAGCCTCTTATATGATGTATCCTTCAAACCTCATCTTTTTAAAGTCTTTAAGTCTTTTGAATTGATAATTGATTATTTGGGCAAGATTCTGTTATGCCACCTGGGCTAGGGTTTGCAAACAGTTAGTTTTCAAGCATCTTTCAGATTTATACTCAGCTTGTCTCTGTCTTGATCTTTACACAGGCTGGAATAGGCCATTTTTCCTAGTACTACTGGGCTTTTAGTACTACACGTGCTATTATTCGAAGTAGGCTTACTGCTCAGTAAAAACAATGTGCAGTAAGTCTACCTGAGAGCACATCTACATCTGCTCCCTCTTGAGAGCAGATTTGCTCCCACCCTGCTCTACCCCCCAGCAGCAGCAAGGGGCAACTCCAGGCTCCCCCTGGGTGCTAGCCTGGGGCCTGCCAGGAAGCATGGGGTCAGCCCTTGTGTGCACAGGGCCAGGAGAGCTCTGCCAGCTGCAACAGCAGCTTGAGGTGGCCCCATACACATTGGGAGGGGTCCTGATGTGCATGGGGCCATGAGACAGCTGCTGCTACAGAGTTCTCCCACCATGTGCACATGGGGACAAGCCTTGTGCCCAAGGAGGCTTCCTTGTACAGCCCCAGGCTGACTGGAAACAGTCCCAGCCCACTCCAGGCTGCACACCAGAGCTGAATGGGACCTGCTCCTCCTCCACAGCTCTTTCCCATCCCTGTGCCCCAATTGGCCAATCGAGACAAGGGGTGGAGAAAGAGTCCCCTCCCCTGCAGCTCTTTCCCAGCCCCAGACCCCATTCAGGTGATCAAGGCACAGGGCTGGGAAAAAACTGTAGGGGA